CGAGCTCGAGCTGGTCCCGCTGCTCGTTATTGTTCGCTTCCAACCTTATCCCCATCGTCACCCCCGATGGGATCATACCAAAATGTGCAACTATTTCAAAAATTACTACATCTATAGCGGCTGCCAAAATCCCGCTGCTCATTTTATCCGAACATCTTTGGATGGCTGCAAAGATGGTCACTGTTCCGACAGTCCACACGACCGATTCATCGTTGTTGTCGGCAAATGTCTACTTTGTTGCACAACAAGGTGACGAAGGCCAAAGAAGCAGCACCACAGATAAAGAGAAAAAAAGAAACTTTTCCCGCTCCCTCTTTTTTGCGTTTATCAATCGGCCGTTGACTTCACCCGCTTCCCACCCTCCTCCTGTTCAGTGCCCGGTCCGCCATACCTTTTAACGACACAATCACCACGAGGAACTATGATTCGGCTCTAGCCGACCCTCTCTCGGGAAGCTATCCACTTGACAATCCGCATTCTGGAACCGACGATGACGAGGGGCTGGTACAATTTGAATGCGATGATTCGTCACCAGGGCTCTGATCGACACTTCATTTTTCTGGTGTTTTTCTTTTCTGTTCTGCTTCTTTTGTGTGTCTGGGGGCCCACACCCATTTAAACTTTGTGCCCTGGGGTCATCTAACTACGTTTTTCGATACTCCGGTAGTATTGAGTTTACAGACATCTCCCCTGTCTTTGATCTTTGATTGTGATTTTGTCTTTTGGTCCATAGTTCTTTTGAGCGTCCTATCTGTGTCCTTGAATGCTGGCTTCCGATTGGTTTTCTTTCTTTCTTTCTTTCTTTTTTTTTTTTCATTTCTCACTATATGTTGTGCCTTTACCCTGTCATAAGCCTGCTTTTACGGGGAGTTTCGCGGGATTTCAAGTTTTTTTTTGCCTCGGTGCCATGTTAGACATACTTTGCTGATTTTCAGGTCCATTACCGCAGATAGGTCGATGCTTATACTTTTATCTTCTCGGTAAAACTATGCCCTGCATGTGTATTGCTTTTATTTTTCTTTCTTTATATTTTCGTGGAAGCTTCGCACGCCCTGTACGATTACGAGAAAATTTGCAAGATGTCCTTTGTTGATGCTTTTATTGTTCTCACCATTTTTTTTAAAGAGCCCCGAGGCCGTCACATGTTATCTAAACTTGCAAACCACACCATCTAAGAGCTTCCTTTGTCAATGGGCTCGGACCTTAATCCAGAACACCAGGAAGGAAAGTGCGGGTTTACTCCGTACAAATTGTCGACTGAAGCCGGGGGCCAGGGGGGAGGGTCCCGCACGGGCAACGTGGTTGTACCCTCCCCCTATGGAATCCCGAAGTGCATAGGCCAAGGGGTGGGAAGGGGCCCCAGCCCAGTCCAACAGACATAACGACCACAGATGCCGCTTTCGGCAACATCTTCGGTACTTTACGGTCTGCAGAAATGAACATCTAACCCGGTTCGACGAGGGTTCCCCCCAGTAAACACCGGTGCTTTTGTAGCGATGTCGCACGCATCGTAGTTGTGCAGTTGTGCACTTATGCAGTTCTGGAGTTTAAGGGCGGGGGGAAAGAAGGTGCAGTGTATCTTGGTGGCTGGTTTTATTGTTATTTAATTTTGGTTTAAAAAAGGATAAGTCTGGCCACGGTGGTACATACGGTAGTCGTAGAATAACCGATAACCAAAATCTAAATTAAATTAAAGGAGTGGAAAGATTAAATAATTGGGCCAAGCCCTGAGTCGCTGGGAATCCACGCAATCTTCCGTGCACCCTGGGACGCCGTTAAGTAGCAAGTACCAGTCTGTGGGGTTTCTCGAAGTCTTCTTTTTTTTTTCCCAGTACGGAGTACTGCCAGGCAGAACTTAATACTGTGTCAGGCTTCATCTAGAAACACTCCACATCGGTTATAATGTTTATCAATCCACGGCAAGCCCCTTAAAAGACCCGGTCGGCTGAACTTTCTGTCAGTGATTAATCTGTAGATGTTCGATTGAAACATGCAATACAAAGATCGACGGAATTTGTATGTAACTTCAATCCACCGGCCCGGGAAGCAGGGCAAAATCCCTCGACAGCCGAAACCTTGCTCATGATGCAATCAGTGGTTGTAGCGGCCGCTAGGGTTTGGGGGGATGTCCGGGGAGCACATGGGACGGGCATTTTAGGGCTTTGTTTTCCCGGTGGGGGTGGGAAGGGGAAGAAAGTCCGGGGAGTGGATAATACAAACAATATTGAATGGCCAAAGGGCGAAAAAAAAGGTGATACATACGAGTATTCAGATGGGGCTTATTGCTAAAAGGGAAAATAGGGCTACCATAAAGGCACTTAAAAAACTTTGCTCGGTAGGTACTCCGAAGCTTCCAGGGCTGGAGTAATTCCAATGCCGGATAGTGCGATACCTAGATTCATTCAATGTTTGGAACGCTAAATCCCTCCAGATGGCGCTAGTACATAGTCGCTAGAATTGGCCTCTGTCGCCGCGTTCCGTTTGGGCCAAGCCTTCATGGATGGACTTATCTAGCTTCTGGTTCTGCACTAGGGGATAGACAGATACTCCATCCTCGAGCATGGACACTGTACCTCAGCGGGCCATGGCGCAGTCGCGTCTCCGCTTGATAGTAATGACGCAGACGACTACTATAATTTTCTACTAGTACATGTCTCGCAAGCCTCGGGGTTGGTCGGACCCGGTGGGAAAATAAGATTGCGTGCCGTGTCGGGCGCTCATTGGGCCCGAAGTCAAAGAATACATTTTTGATATTTATGCAAAACTGTGTCAGGCCCCACAAATTGAAAGTTCAAGTTCAAGTCCCACCGGCAATCCTTCAGGCTGCTTGGTTAGGGATTATTAGATGATGAACAGGCAATGAAATGCCGCTGTCTAGATCGGGCAATCTCTCTGCACTCCGATCTGTCGTTGACCAGCCGCCGACAGTTGACAATGCATGCCGGTTTAAATCCGATCACGAGTGCATTGAGCACGTCGGCGCTTTGTAGTTCCACAGCCCCTCCTTTATGCTGACAAAAGTTCTTGCATCGACTCACGATCTCGACCCGCAACGGTCGTCGTTTGGCGTTCATATCTTAGCCCCAACGGATTTCAGACCTCTTTCACATGCGCCCACCATTATCTATCATCAACCCTGTCACTGGCAAGGTGAATTTTGATTGACCTTGGTGGCGCAATATCCTAACGTCGCAATACTGCTTTGGAGGGAGCTAGAGCCTTGCCTAGCATGTGGCCCCTCTAATTTCAACAGCCTGAGCCACCGACAAGGGGGGTCCGGCCCTTCACGTCTATTGTCTAGACTCTATAGACGGAGTCTAGAAGTTGATCCGAGCCCGACTGCGATAAGCGGATTAAATGTAAGTATAAACGTGTTCATTCCGTGCCACATCTGGCCTCGTTCGTTCGTTCGTTCGTTCGTCCGTGGCCCAACAAGGCGGGGCCTAGGTCTTTCGACAGGAATCTTCCGATTTCTCCCTTGTCTGAAACGATATGATTGCTTCCTTCTGATCGGTACAAACTCTATCGCATAAAAAGGAAAAGTAAAAGCCAAGACAAAACCCAAGCTTTAAGCCTCGCGATCTGGCCACAATGATTTGCAATAATCAAAAGTTTGGCTTGTGGTCTGAATTGTCGTAAGCCAGTCGTCTCGGTACTTTGCTGTTTTTTTTATCTGTAATTCGTCATGAAAAAGTAGCAAACACCAGGTCAAATTGTTTCCCCAATGGAGAAGAGAGCCAATCGTATCCACTGGATCACAACATAGCTAGCCTTTGACGTGGACCTTCCCCGGCTTATAACGGTTACTATTTCCCGTTGCATGATAACTGGTGGGTTCCAGCGATTCTGAAAATACTCCGGAACAATACTTCCACTAGCAATTGACAATCTTCCCTCTTGAAGGAATGATCAAACCATGGTCCCATTGATCCTCCGCACACGGTCTGTGCGGAAATTGAGCTTTCGGGTGGAGTACCGAAGCCACTTCCGCCAACCCACCACCGCAACCCACCAGAAGGGGTGGCATGCATGGGTGGGAATCAAGCGAGGGGGTGAAAAGAACGAAGGAAGCCACAAAGAAGCAAACGAAACACAAAGTAATTACAGAACGATCGGCACAGGCCTCAGCCGAAACACCGGGAAGGCCCTGCAGATCAAGTGATTCTGGCGTTAGCAATTATCCGAGACCAAAGGAGGCTGTTCAGCCGATGGATCCACTGGCGGTAGTGATTTGGAATTGATCAATAGATCGGCTTAAGGGCCTTTAGACGAGTGACAATACGAATACTAATATTAATATTAATATTAATGCGAATACGATATACCCTCGGCACAAGAAAGAGAATTGTATCTGTCTGATAAAAGAAAATCGAGAAATTCCAGGTCAAAACTGGACTCGGACTCGGAGGTGTACCCTCAACTAGTCAAGCCTATCGCTCCTTGTCTATGATAGAAATGACCTGCAATCGGCTGCAGAACAGCGCTAGAAATAACAAGGAGTTCCCGTCCCTGGAAGCCACCCTATTCGACAGCATAAATGAAAAATAAAGGTCGAGGACCCAACGGGATGAGGAAACTCGTCACCCCCCCCAAAGCCGGCATTTCTTGCCAGGTATGCCCTATCAAAGAAGGGAAGTCAAACGTCATTGGGGTTGGCAATGCATTGCCGAGTGAGGTGCATTGCCGATCTGTTTCGGGTGTTGGGCCCATGCAGAGTTCTTACCTAGCCTTTTCACGTGAACAGATTGTATTTGGGACGGGATCTAATTGCATGAAAGCTACGTAGTCCCAGTTGCTCTGAACAGAGTCTGTGGGAATGTGCCTATGTGCGATACTGACAGATATCACACGCAGGGTTTACGGTAAGCGATAATGGGGAAGTTGGGGGCCGTTGCTAGGCTGAATGATTATTATTCATCGGTTGATGTTGTCTATATACGGGTGACTGGGCCGACTAATTGTCGAAGGGATATTTTGATTGATCACTGTTGAGACTCAGCTCAAAATCGTACTTCTGGTCGAGTGGTGATGCGCTTGGGCGAGTATATTGGTGGTAGAGTTGTGTAGCGAGGACCAGGCTTTCGAGATGTCTTGGTCGGGAAAGAAAGTCCCGGAAGGTCGCCTAGGCGAATGCTTAGTCTCGAAGTCGCCCGTTTCCGACTGAGTGACGATGGTTCAATCTCTTGAGTGGTTGATGACACTGACAGCTGACTAGAAGTTTGCTGGGATATGGTGATCAAACTTCGCAAATAGTGGAAGGATTCCTCTTCTGCAAAGTGATCCTCCTTGGTACTGTCAGTGGCAATGGATTGCGTGGTTGCGGTAGTCACGAGTGATGGCGTGGACGATCTTTGGGATCTTGGCGTCGTACTTGCAGATGATTGACTGACACTTGCAGCCAACACGGCGAGCTGGTTAACAATCATCTCAGTGTCGCTGCAACATGGTGCGTCCCTCTTTGTTGTTGGTGTGACGTGGATATCAGGGGACCGTGGTGTTCGTGTGATTCGAGTATTGGCCGCGTCATTCTCATTTATTTCATCATTTATTTCATCATTTATTTCATCATTAATTTCTGATGTTTCAATGGTTGATGCTGCATCTCTCTTGAATTGGCAACGTCGGGTGATCAAGGCCCAAACAGCGGACCAGGGAGCCCGGCAGTTGTGCAATATCAAGAGTCTCATATTGCTAAAGTGATACACTAAAGCTGTAACCGAATGAGCGATGAAGCAAAGTAATGTGATTTGTCGAAGTTCTTACGTCTCAGGTGATCAAATGCAAGGTCAAATACACCTGACAATGTTTATTTGGATCTTGATCTGGATCTGGATCTGGATCTGGCTGAGTCTGGTTGAATCTGTGCAGGCGAGAATCTGAAATTCAGAGTTATAGCTAAGCGTACCTAGGTACTCCGATCTCAAATATAAAGACTTCCAAAGATTACCCGGAAACACAGTAGCCCACCTTGAAAGACCATATAATCAAAATAGAGCTCTATCCAGTCTGCCATCGCCCGGCAATCCCAGCGCAAATCCGAAAGTCCACATTTAAATCGAACCAGACCCGCAACACCGGGAGATTTCCAGGGACCAAGAGCCACCAACACGGTACCATCAAAAGAGCCCCCCCTAATACATATACACTTCAATCCAATCTAATCTAACCCACCCGGCAACCCACCTATCTCACTTCCGAATAACGAACCTCGTCGTTCGCTGGTCATCTGTGCTGCTGACTGCGGCCGCATATGCAGGTGTCCCACCCATCCACCCCCATCCGCACAGACGCGAAGCTTATCCATTGCGACATGTCATATGCAACATGTATGATCGCCCGGCGAGGGGGGGGACAAACGCGATGAGTGTGGCGGCGGAGCTTTCTTCCCTGGCCGCGCTTGCGGCGATAAAGTTTTCACCATGATCTGCCCATTTGTGGGTCACGATAGGGTCGTTCGACAATCGGGATGGCGGATGGGTCAGAGCGTTTTTTTCTAAGGCGGGTTTGGAATTTGGCGGGGGCTGGAGATTGAGCTTCTGTCGAGGTCCGGGCTTGGGGTTGGGTTGATGCATTCGTTCTATTTGCCTTTCTTTCTCGTCGGTGGTAAACAAACGGTTTTCAAGGCGGTGACATCTGCATTGGGATAGTGTGAAGTGGTATGTTAACTAGTGAGTGATAGATAAACAGTTGCGTTTCTACTGGGATGAGAAGGGTGTATTGAATGGCATTTGATGCTGAATGCGTTGCTGTAATTATCAGGTCATAGCGCTTGCGTTGAGTTACGCAAATTTCCGAATCCCAACCGCGAGCATCACTTGGTTTGGGGATTTCTCGTCATACAATAGAGCTGTAGGAACAGCCGCGCGGAGGAAATTAGTAAAGTCCAACTAACGACGAACTTTTATAAAAGAGCATCAATCAACACGTACCATGCAAGCATCATCTCCGTCACGACACTCCATCTCCCGACTCATCTCAAACCCCATCCCCTCATAGATCTGCACATTAGGCACATTTTTCGAGCTCTCCAAGTAACACTTAATGCCCTCCTGATCCGCTTGCTTCGTAACCGTCTCAAATAGAAGTTTCCCAATCCCCTTCCCTTGCGCCTCGGGACTAACAGCCACGATATTACAGAAATAGTATCCCCGCGGGTCGTCCCAGATTTGGGCCTGGGCCTTCTGCTGATTCTCTTTCCAGATCCAATAGCGGTTCGTGCGCAGACCCCCGTGTCCGAGATATCGTATGTTGGTGAGGAATTGGTTGAACGAAAGGACCCACCCTTGGTACCAGGTGTACCAACTTTCAGGCTGGGCAGCTGGCTGAGGAGCCATCCAACAGGAGACTCCAAGGACCGGGAAAGATTGTGAGTCCTTCGCGGTGGCTGTGTCCTTGGCTACTTGGAAGATTGCATTGTTGATACCCCAGCGGCAGCGTGCTGCAAGCGAGTCATAATTTCGTTTTTTGCTGAACTTTATGTATCGCTTTCCCCGTTAGGGTAACGGTAGGTCGGTGGCCGACCGCGTTACGAGGAGAATGATCTTAGTATGGAAACCTCCAGCATTGAGCATGTCTATATCTAGTGGAGCGGGATTGCATACCGTGGACGCATCAAACACCCATTTGTAGTATGGGTCATCTTCGAAAGCTCTTTGAATCACTTGGATTGCACCGGGGATATCATCCTCGGTTAGGGGACAACTTCAATCGTCATGGTGAATATTCAAGTTGTTGAAGATTTCCTAACACGAATGAAGGTTTGTCTTTTGAAGGCGGCAAATCGGGTTCTTGGATGAGCCCTGGAGTGCTCAGGCGTTGACCCCGCCAAATCAGCAAGGGCCCGAGAGGCTTGATGTCGGTCAAGCTCTCAGCTCTTTCACCACGTAGGAATATACCCGTATGCGAGATTTCAACTGGGCAAGCGTGGCTTATAGCTGATAGAATGCCGAGATGTGGTAGTTAGATGAGCTCTAGGATGAGGTGAAGTCGACGATGAATGATAGAGTAGCTGTGGTCCATCGATGTGGGGAGGTTCCAGAGTTTAGATGCCTAGGCATCTTAATCAGGGAAGGCAGCTGGAAGCGGGCACGCTTATCGCTATCTGCGGGGATCCCATCCGACCCTCAGTGGGGTGCCTATGTGCCAAATCTGAAATACTTGAAACCTGGTCAAAGATATAGTATTTAGACATATACTGTTAGAACTTGAATGCAGGGTGCTATGGAATAGTACTGTATCGATTCAAAAAGTATTGTTGTGACCACCGCAGTTAAGGCTCCAACGAATGCCATCATTGGATTCCAAGGTTCTGATACTAGTTTCGTCTAGAGCAGCTCATCTTATTAAGAGAGATATAACTCTAAACAGGAAGGCGTGGCGCGAGAGAGAAAATGATGTTATGGAATCGACGGTCCTTAGGAAACTTTGAACGATGGGAGTTACACTTGAGTTTGTGTGATCTCAAAGATGAAGAGATAGTAAATGAGATAGAAGACCATGCACGCAAGGAAACACCTCCACGCCTTTTGCCCAATGATATGAACAGAGAGACATCTGAACCGGACCCGATATGCCAACAAACCCCGAATCCGAATCCGAATCCAACCTAACCCAACCCAACCCCAAACAGAACGCATTTGTAAACAATCTGAGAAACAGAAGATGAATTCCAAAACCAAAAAAAAAAATCTATAAGAAAAAAGAACAAAATAAGGAAACGCTTTGAAAGGAATGGACCTCCGTACACCGTTTCCGGTATGAAATTTCGTTGCTTCATGGCTAGGATAATCGTAAAAGGGTGAATCAATACACCGTACTGAGTTGGAGAATTGAAATAGGAATCCGAACCGATCACGTCCTGGCGAGATCCTCAATTCGAATCCACTCCCTGGGTACATCCATACTGCGGTTGACCCGGCCACCTGGGGTGAGGGGGACATCAACACGGCCCCGTCCCCGATCGTCGTCATCTTGGTCCTCGTAGAACGATAGCCGCGAGAAATAATCTTCCAAGATAGCCTCGCGATCCGCATTCCCAACAATTGTCGTATACTCTGGAGGAGGAGTGACAAGTGGAGGCGGAGGAAGTAGGTCTTCAAAGGCAGGAGGGGCAAATGAAGGGGCCCGCAGTAGATGCATTGGGCGAGGTACCTCCGAAGGTCCAGGTGCCGCGGCGGGGTTGTGCTCTCGTTCGTTGTTGGGCTCGTGGGCCAAATGTGCTTGAGGTGGGCGGGCCAGGCCGCCAGAGCCGTTCGTGAAGCTTCGAGAAACTGGGCCGATGGAGCCGCGACGGTTGAGGCTGAGATTCGTGCTGGACTCTTCGCGGTCAGAACTGGACTGCGCCGCTGAGTTATCTCTTGGTGTCATGGGTGCTCCGGGGCAGCCGCATTCGAACTCCTGGGCGGGTGGTTCTGGTTCGGCTGCAGGTCTCGTGTAGGCCGGGAGATAGATGTTTGCTTGTGTGGCTTTACAGGACAGAATGTGGAAGGGTGAATCGATGGAAATCTCGAAATGTCTGCGTTTGGTAGGATCCCTTTCGTCGACCTTGGAAAGACGAAGGACAATCTAAACATGTGTAAGTATTCATGTTCAATTTAGAAGCTCAATTTAAAAGCGAGGAGATAAAAATGTCAAGACCACTTACCTTGATCCAATGGTTGATTTGAATGTTTTCGTAGGTTGTGTCAAAATGGAGGCGTTGTGCTTCGTCGCGACCTCTCATCTCATGGCAGCTCGGGAGTTGTACATTGAATTCCATTTCTGTTGGTCCAACACCGTTTTCAGTCGAGAGGTTGCCTAGTAAGTTGGTCCGGGATCGATCCACGATCTCCTCGCCCCTTGCAGCAGCCGCACGATGGTCCCAGTCGATGCCTCCACCTGCAGTTACACGCATGGAACTGCCGGGGTATGTGCTCGTACTGGCGGACTCCGCTCGCTTCTCAAACAACAAGACCTTTTTGGCGGGTTGCAGTCGATGGACACTCTTGTCGGCGGTCCAGTGCTGGATGTTCTCGGTTACATAGACCTTGATTCGATGGCATTCGACCTTGGCAAGTGGTGTCAACTTAAATGCGATAGGAATCTGAGAGCCCATGGGGAAGGATTTTCCAGAAATCACAATGTCGTAGTGGAGCTGATCCTCCCAATTTCGAGAAATCGCAATTGGTTCGACCTGTTCTAACGATCCCTCAGCGGGGGTGCGAATGACGGGAATCTCCATTGTGCCGAGCAGGTTGGGGCGGAAAGCGCCGGATCGTTCGACAATAGCTTCCAGGTCATATCTCACAGATCCCAGGTCTGTTTTGATTGTTTCTGGCAAAGACCCATCGATTGGGAACTCAAAACTATACAAATAGTCACCAACCGGAAACATCCGGTAGTTGCGCTGTTGCTGAGTCGGAAGACCTTGAGGTGTGTCATTGCGACTGAAGCTTCGAGAGTGGCCGCGGGTGGTCTGTACGGAAAGACGCTTGGGGTCTCGTACGTTGGTCGGGCCAAGGTTGGTGGTTGATCCGCTCTTAGAGAAGAGCTCCCGAGTTGTCGCAGAGACACCCTCCTTGCCAGGTACTGGGGAGGTGGGTTTGGCGTGTTGGTAGTAGTGTGCGCCATAGTCATTCTGCATCAAAGCCGTATCGCCATGGTTGAAATAAACTACACCGTGGGTAAAAAGATCTTTCTTATCGTGGAAATGAATCTTCTTGGGCGGAATACCATCCGGCCAATCGGTTTGGGCATGTCCGCGGAATTGAATGGAGATCTTTTTGATCTTGACACTCTTAGTGATCTTGAGATGGATCTGACCTCGCAAGATCGCTGATTTTTTAGAACTTGGATCCTGCTGATCGTAGCCTTGAAGATAAAGCACTGGTTCTGTCAGGGCAATACCAACAGTGAGTCCGCTACCCGTCGCAACGATCTTCTCATTGCGCAACGGGGGGAACGGAGTGCTCAGCTGGGGTACAGCACTAGCCGCTTCGGCCACTGGCCGGGGGAAAACCTCTGTCGCCATCATTGAATCTGTGGGTATCGCACCTATTTCCGATTGTGTTGAGAAGAACGAGGTCGAGTCTCTCGGGGAGAGGATGATTTCGGATACCGGCCGAGTGCCACGGGCGCCACTACAGCGCGGGTTGGTTTGGTGTGGGGGCGCGGGCGACTGGACACCCGACGACCGCAGGCGAAGGAATCGCTTCGCGTTTTCGCGTGGCCCCGCCAGCTTTCTGAGTAGAGAGCCCCGCCGGGTTTGTTTTGGGAACTGTTCTTCGACGTTCAAGCACACCGAACGGCGGCGGATGGACCGGGTTCGGATAAGGTTGGAGAGCGATAACGAAGGGACAGCGAAGTATTCGGACGGAGCAAGATCGCTGATAGAACCCGACCGCGATGAAATCTGCGGGGGGGATAATGTGAGCAGCCATCATTGTGGAGTTTGGCGCATAGTGTGTGAGATGGGGAAAATCTGGGACAGAGGTATGTCTTTTTTTCTTCTTTCTTTTGTTTACTTCTTCCTCTCTTCACCGGAGAAAGGAGGAATCCTCTTTTCCTTTCTCCTGCGACGGATTGCGAACCACAGGCGCGTGTTTCGCAAAAGGCCGTCGTAGGAATGCGGGGGGGGGGGGAGGTGGTCCAGGAAGGCCAGATGGTTCTTCACGGGGAATTCCAGACCCAACGAGAGGAGGCCACGAGTGAAAGGGAGGGAGTCAAGAGGCAAGAAGGGGGAACACAAGAATTAAGACGACTTACAGATGAGGATATTAATGGGGTGTGTGGTTGCTTCTTTGCAATCCCTTGTGCACCCCCCTTCGATTCAGATCAACCACGCAAGGAGCACACCGATCTTTGTGCAGGAAGAGATGGAATTCTTGGGGGCGCTGACTTCATAAGCACGGGTCCTCGACTCCGGTGATCATCGCCGCGCAGATCTCTTGGAGGGCGTATTGGATTGGCTGTGGGGCAATGAATTGTGGTTCCCGACTTTTCTGCGTGTTGGCGCTCCGTAATGTGGCGCAAATGATTAAAGTGGCCGAGAGTTGGGCAGTCACAAATGGAAAATGGTGAAGAAAAAAGAGGAAAAAGAAAAAAAGAATTGGGAGGTCATTCATGAATAATGAAACAGGGGGCAATGGGTAGAAGTAGAAACGGGGATCCACTGAGAGGAGTGGAGTTGGTGAGAGAGCCAGACCCGATCGATGATGACATGATACTCTCAGCTAGCGAACGAGTTCAAATCCGGCTTGACTTTGCAGTGTATTCTACCGTGTACTCTGGTTTACAGAGTATACACAGACTAGATGTAGATCAGATCAGATCCCTTGCAATCTCAAGTTCGGCATTTTTATCAATGTCTCAGAGGTACAGTATACCGTCTATACTACAGTATACTACTGTTCAGTATGCTGCCAGTACTTACGAAATCACCGAGTCACCATATCACCGAGGCGGACTAAACGAACTACCCTCCGCATGACCTGACTACATAACCCAGACCGTGGTCCATGGTCCATAGTCTATTCCCATTTACCCAAGCCAATTCAATCAACCTAATTCAACAGCAAATACATTTCCGCCTGGATGACTCAAACAGGCAACACGGATGCTCGGCATCGCATCCCTGTTCGCCCCCCGCACTGCCAGAGGCTCACTTCCGGACTACAAAGTACAGTGCATGCAAATCGATGGATTGTCAGTTCCGAGGTTCATACCGACACCCTCCTGACCCAAGGGACCAGTGCTTAAATGCGGGCCCTGATTTTCAGAGTTTGCTTTTGCTGCACGAGCTCTGACCTCCAGCCCTCACGTCGAGGAACGAGCATAGGACAATCTTCTGTGAATGGTCGGAGGTACTACCCCGCGGAGAAAGAATATACTCAAGAAGAATATAGTCTCCTGGCGTGGGACAATGTACTGTAAATCGACTATGTGAGTGCCCAGGTGGATATGGAAGATTTTACGGGGATAGTTGTGGTGGCAGGGCAGTGGCAGGGCAATGACAGGATGCTTGGCCCGAAGCAGAGACATTGCTATCTGCGCCTTCTTGAGACTTTGGGTCAGATGCTCATGCGAGTCTAGAAGGTCCGAGTCTGGATACATAGACTAAATGCCAGTCACTCCACAGATTTCAAGTCAAAATCAAGACGGTAGTTCTTGCGGGTCCGTGGCTGTGATGACCTCATCGCGGCCGGACAAGCCCCGATGTCAACGCGGCCTCCGCCTTGACGTGGTGTTTTGCTGTCGGAATCCCTGCCCGCGCGGGGAGAGGAGGGTGAGCTAACTATAGTCTATAGTAAAGAGGACAGGGCATGGAGGTGATGAACGGACCTCGCTAAACCTGCCTCGTTCCTGGAATCAACGACCGTGACCGGATTTAATCCTAGCCTCCGATGGAGATGGAGATGGAGATGGAGATGGGGTTGTTCAGCCCTATTCTATACGTCACTTTTGATATCGTAGCCCCGCCCTGATCGCCGAGGCTTTTCTCTTGGGTCTATCATCCTGGGTGATGTGGTCGCACATACTATTCCCATACCACTGATGGATACGGAGTTACGGAATACTAGCCTCCCCACGGAAAGTGACAGGTCGAGAAGAGAGCTGGGAATCTCTGTTCAGTTCGACCAGCGGTCAAGAATTATTCCAGAGAGCGCTTGACCGTAGACAGAGCTACTAGTGCTTTGTTGGAGATCAAAAATACATCATCTTGATCTTGCCCGTCTCCGCCTACCACATGTTGAACTTGGAAAAGCAAATGATCCAGCGGGGAAAAGGGTCCCATAGACTTAGCCAATTACCAAGCAACGATCATCTTTGCGATGCATCGATTGGCCTAGTGACACAAACATGGCACTATCCTCAGTAGATCTAATTAGTGCTACTAGTGCAGAGTGCATGCGCATGTAGATCATAGGGGAACGACTTCGGATGTGTCTTCCCCTCCCCCGATCAGGTACTAGTACTATACAATTTCTTTGGCAGACGGGCAATTTCTTATTTGTTTTTTTTTCCGTGATCCGCAATCTATCATGCTCTCGATCCTCAAGAGAACCAGTTGTCATCCAGCTCGCTAATATTCATCAAACTGTCCCCTTCCAAATGGTTCAGATCTCCACCTTCTCCAAAATTCTCTGTTTCCATGAACAAATCGTCGAAGCTGGATTCCCCAGGACCCATCATGTCGTCTGTTCCGCCTTGCTCGGTGAATAGATTGGCGTCTCCATCTGTCCTGTCTAATTCCATATCGAATGCACCCCCGCCAGCAGGCGTGGGGATTGTATTCTCGATCGAATTCTCCACCGGCATCGAGGCGTTAGGCTTTTCGGCACTGCCAAAGGTCGTTCCAGAAAGGAAGGCTTGATTGCCTGTGTCGTCGTTTCCAAAGTCAAGATTGAGGTCAAAGGTGTTTGCGCCTCCAGTGTCATTCAGAACGGAATCAAAGTTGATCTCTTGGGTCCCTGCCAATCCTTGATCGGTCGGCACACTAGTAGCTTGTTCATTTTCCACTTTCACCGGTACATCCTCCTTCAGCTGAGGCTCCGGTATGGTGGTGGGGGGCTGCTTGCGGCTCTGGCACTGTCGGTTCTTCCTCCTTCAGGTCCGCTTTTTCGGGACTTGGGGATTTGGCGACAGGTTGTGATGGTGGTTGAACCTGTGCTGGAATATTCAGATCCGCATCGCTCATTGCCACATCTTCTGTAAGCTGCGGTGCGGACTCCCGGGCCTTGATAGCTTCATAGTCCTTTTCCAAAAAGGCCTTGGCGATAAACTGCGATACGTCAGGAGAATGTCGGAAGTTGAAAAAAAAGGATGAAAAGTAAAAAAAAAAGTAAAAAAGTCAAAATGAAATACAACATCAATGAGTAGAAAGAACAAAAAGAAACTTGAATCAATCAAATCAAGGCTTTTGATGTGTCTCTCAGCGACTACGTAATCGCTCCGAGCATCCAATCGGACTCACAATTTGCTCTGAGAGATTATCCAGGGCCGACTGGAAGCTCTCATAGTAGGAAGGGATGGATCGTTGCAGATGTGTGCTTGATGGGACTGAACCATTTTTTCTAAACAGTCGTCCAGTATCCAGTAGCTTGTATGTAGTCAGTTAGCAAATGGTTCAAGTAAATCTCTGAGGAGGGAAGTAATACGGTGCGCTCGACCAGCATGGACAGCTCGCCCAGGGAGTCGGGATTAGAATAATTGGTGGTCATGGGGACGATAAAATAAAAGTTCTTTCTTATTCTCAAGGTAGAGTGGGAGTAAAGTCAAGTAAATAGGTGAATGAAACAAGGGGAAGCACAGAAGCGGGAGTTGGGCGATGGTTGTACACGGTGAACTAGACCCGTTGAAGTTAGTTCAGCTTCTCTTTCTCTGGTCTCTTTCCCTCTCCCCCCCCACCCCTGCTTAACTCTCCCTTACAACTTCTTCCTTTTCCCCTGCTTCTCGTTTTTTTCCTTGTTGTTCGCGGATCGAAGCGACTCTAGTGCGTGTGTGCGTGTGTGCTTTTGCCATTTCTTGCATTTTCTCGCCTTGGTCTCCTTGGATCTTGAATCTCCCGGCCTCAGCGCTACTTCACTTTCCTCTTCGTCCATCACACCCCCCCAAATCCATCTCGACACGAAACAAATCGAACGATCGAATCCAATCAACGTACCCCTCCCTCGTCTACCCCTCGGTACCTTTCATCATACTTCGTCCTTTCTCTTGTCGAGATTCGAGCTTCGATAGCCATTACCTGTCTCTGTCCTCTCTTAGTCTTCCCTTTCTGGTGATTGCTTTGTTTGGATCGTGCAAGCTTGGCCTTTGATTGGACTTGGCTACCTGACACCCCGCGGGCCCCCTTTGACAACAAAAATATTATCAGACATATAATTTTATCAGCTGCATTTCCACGATCGTGACTTTTCTGTGACGAACGTTGCTCTACATCTTCGCATCGCTCGAATTCCCTCGATTCCCATTCATCTCCTGGCCACGCCTTCGAGGTATTTTTGCATCAGTCAACTGCTATATCATCGCTCTTTCTCCCCGATCGCTTTCATCCAAAATATATCAACACCTATACACGATGGCCGAGAACGCTTCCGCTACCACTCCCTCCACCCTGCCATCGGCTCCTCAGCCTGCTGCCGCCGCTCAGAATCAGCAGTATGATGCTGCCCAGGGCAATGGCCAGGCCAACCCCTCCCACATGCCTCCCCCGCCACGGCCCCCGGTGATCATTCCCCAGAATAACAACCCCATTCCCACCGCGATGGGTTCCCCCCATGTCTGGCAACATGATGTCCCCCACAAGCGCTGGTGGCTATGTCCGCCGCGCTGCCCCCGAGCCTAACAAGAGAGCCCTCTATGTTGGGGGTTTGGATCCTCGCGTGACCGAAGATATTCTCAAGCAGATCTTTGAGACTACCGGTCACGTTGTGAGCGTGAAGATCATCCCTGACAAGAATGTGAGTACACAGGGAGATGGTCGACCCACTGCTACTCCAATGAGAGACCAACAAGGCATATCGATGAATATGCAAGATGTAGGGTTTCTGCACCGGATAGCTCGGTCTCCATCAACGCTCGAATTGGGCTAACGTTTCCCAGCAATTCAACACCAAGGGTTACAACTACGGCTTCGTCGAGTTTGACGACCCCGGTGCGGCTGAGAGGGCTATGCAGACTCTGAATGGCCGCAGAATTCACCAGTCGGTTAGTTGATTACCCGATTTAAACTCTTGACCCCATCTGACATCGCATTTCTTGCAGGAAATCCGTGTGAACTGGGCGTACCAATCCAACAACACCAATAAGGAGGACACCTCCAATCACTTTCACATCTTCGTCGGCGACTTGAGCAATGAGGTCAATGACGATGTTCTGACTCAGGCTTTCTCTGCCTTCGGCTCTGTCTCTGAGGCTCGTGTGATGTGGGATATGAAGACTGGACGCTCTCGTGGATACGGCTTTGTCGCTTTCCGTGATCGCACCGATGCCGATAAGGCGCTTAACGCAATGGATGGCGAGTGGCTGGGCTCTCGTGCTATCCGCTGCAACTGGGCCAACCAAAAGGGCCAGCCTTCCATCTCCCAACAGCAGGCCATGGCCGCCATGGGCATGACCCCTACCACCCCATTCGGTCACCACCACTTCCCCACCCAGGGCATCCAGAGCTACGACATGGTCGTTCAGCAAACCCCGCAGTGGCAGACTACCTGCTACGTCGGTAACCTGACCCCTTACACCTCCCAGAACGACTTGGTCCCCCTGTTTCAGAACTTTGGATATGTTCTTGAGACGCGTCTCCAGGCCGATCGTGGATTTGCTTTCGTCAAGATGGATTCCCATGAGAACGCTGCGATGGCCATCTGCCAGCTGAACGCGTACAACGTCAATGGTCGCCCCCTAAAGTGCAGCGTAAGTCTTTAAGCCAATTATTATTTTGAACGCCCGATTTGCTGACCTTATACTCTGGACAGTGGGGTAAGGATCGTCCTCCTACCGGACAGTTCGACAACTTTTCTCCGCAGCAGGCGAATGCCACTTTCCCCAACAGCCCCGGCTTCTTCCCCCAGTATGGTGGTCCTGCAAACCCCATGAACCAAGGTATGTCTCCGAATTTGAATGTCTCAAAAACATCATGTGCTAACTGAAAGATGTAGGTCCTGCCCCTGCTGGTCGAGGCTGGGACCAGGGTGCAAACAACTTTGGTGGCCCTGGCATGCCCGCTCAAGGCTTCCCCCAGGGAAATGCTGCAGGTTTCGGCCGTGGCCAACCCATGTCCCCGTCTGGAAACTGGGACCAGGGCAACAACAACTTCAACGGAGGCTACCAGGCGTAGATCTTCATTGACTATTCTTGATTGTTATTGACATCTTGCCGCAAATTACACTGGCTATGATTAATATAGCACGTGTGAGACTCGGTACAATGTCCTGGCACTGGCTGTCAACCGGCCGAACTTTTTTCTTTTGACTTTTTGCCAGTCATCCTCTCATCACCCACCTCCTTCGACCTACTCCCCTCCCCTCTCACTTCTGTCGTTCTAATTGTTGAAATTGTCTTTCAAGTGGATTTCCCGAGCGATCATTTGCTTTCTTCTGAATGGAATTTGTGTGTTGTCCACCGAATACCCCCAAGTCCACTTTGTTGGTTCGATCTTTCTTTTACCCTTTTGAGTGTGCAAGCCCTTGGATGTTTGATTGGAGTGCTGTGCCCCCCAAAATAAAAGCGATCTTCCCTACTCTCTTTCTATACTCATTTGCCCTTCGACATGTTCTTGTGAATTTTTTTGTTTAGTTGTTATTGCATCGCTTCTCCAGTACGTGTATTATTGTGCTGTGCTGAACCTGCTTCTTGTCCTTTCTTTTCTACTTTTCTTTTTCTTAGGCCCATATTTTTTCATTGTTTGATACTGCTTCTTCGTTACTCAAAACCATGCTTCTTTACCCCCCGCTTCCTTTTTCCTCCCCCCTTTCCCACAGGCTGCTCGGTTCACAATTTGTCCTGGTGGGAAGTTCTCAATTTTCTTTTTCTTTCCTCTGAAGTATTCGTATATGCCCGTTATGAGTTCCTTTGTCGTGCTTGACACCATCGGTCGTTGTGATTCTTTCCTATCTCATGCCTGCTGGCGTTCTAGCCGATATACCAATTTGCCTTTTTATCTATACTTATGTCCCTCTTCTACCTTGTTATTCTTCCCCCACCCTGGTCTAGAGTTTTTGACCGCTGGCTCTGTTGTCCCACCCACTTTGCGTTCGTGCACGGTGCCCGATTATTGCAGTTGGTGCTACCAGGTATCTGTATGTAGTCAAATCTATTAAGCTCACATAGGACAATGCTACGGCTTGCTAAGAAATGCCGGCGAGGAATGGAAAAAATACCCATCTAGATTAATGTATTCTAAATAGTCCCTTTCTAGTCTCCTGATTCCCCGTAAGCAAATAGCTAGTTACTACTACTAGTTCTATGATCATCATGCTGACTGTAAACAATAACTGTGTGCCTGAGGCCACTGATTCAGTTCCCGCCAATCCGCTACCTCTACCCCGTACCCACCTCGTCAACGCGGCCTATGATGGAACACGTCCCCGGGCAACCATCTTTCACCCAGAGCGAAACCCACCAATGCTGGGTGACTGAATCACGGAGAGCTGACGGTTCAGCTCACCGTTCCCCCCCACACCACACCAATGGACAATGGCGGAAGCAACAAGGCGGAACTCGCAGCGGTCGACGAACTATCCAATCGCACACGATCCGGCAGCGCAAGCAGCGGCCATAAACGAAGTCTCTCTGGCTCCCTCCTCTCCCGACTATCCTTCCTCCGCATGAGCCAAGCCACCCAATCGGAATCGAGTCCGCACGCCATGGAACAACATGGCGAAGGCAACGCCGACGACCACCTCAACTCCAACATCCCCCCAATGAACAGCGAGAAGTCATCCAGCGCCAAGGCAATGTCAGCAGCGATACAGCAACAGCGCCGAACACGGAGGCGGCGGGGCTCACTGCGCAAGACGGCACTGCTGGGCACAAGGCTGGAATCAAGAGATAAACGCGCAGCGGCGAGGGGGGCATCTGCGGAGACCATTCGAGGAGGCGGGGAGCCAACTCGACCGCAGGCAGAGGATGTGCCGCGCTCACTACGAGAACAAACCTCCCCTCCCCTCCCAGGCGATTTCAATACCACGAGACGCGGCTTCGGCGAGGAAGATGGCGCCGATGCGCAGCCGAGCTGGTTCAGCACGAATACAGCGCGAAAGATTCTCCGATCCTCCGGTGTGCGCCAGAGGCAGGGATTACCGCCGCAGAACAACGGCGCAAACAATAATACCAAGAATCATATGCTGGGCGATGAGATCGGCACGGACGATGAGGAGCTTGTTTCTTTCCCGCGGATTGGCGCGAATATTGGGTCTAATGGCAATGCTTCGAGTAAAAATCCTGTTGCGGGTTCTCTTCACATTCCGACTCAATCGTCTGGGTCTGATGGCTATGGATATCCCCCTCTCTCGGTGGATGCCGCGTACCGACCTGTTCATCGCAAAGCATCGCCGTTATCGACGCACTCGGCGGAGATGAAGAGTAATTCTGGCGATATAACGTGGGATTATTCGGAGACGGAGTGGTGGGGGTGGATTATTTTGGTTGTGACTTGGTTGGTCTTTGTCGTGGGGATTGGGAGCTGTTTTGAAGTTTGGAGCTGGGCTTGGGATGTTGGTGAGACGCCGTATGCGCCGCCGGAGTTGGAGGATGATCCTACATTGCCGATTGTTGGGTATTATCCTGCGCTGATCATTCTTACGGCTGTCATGTCATGGGTTTGGGTCATTGTTGCTTGGGTGGGCATGAAGTATTTTAAGCATGCTAATATTTCTGGGGATGATAGTTGATTGGGTTGGGTGTACTTGAGGTTTCAAGCTTTTTGTACGATTTACATTGATACCAGGCATTTTTTATCTTCTAATTAGACTTTTCTTTCTTTCTTTCCTACGACCCATTCAAGTTGGGGCACTACTAAGTAGACACCCCATTTGGCTATCTGAACACCCTAACTTTTACATTTAGAAACGGTGCTGTATGCCCAGGTATGTATTACCACGGGTTCGGTCCTAATTAGAATATAAAATTAGTTTATACACACTTTCAAGGTTTTTGGCGACAAGGTGTGGTGCGGTAGATATGGCTAGTATAGGGTTATAGGTAGCTTCTGCTAGTAGGATCTACCCGATTAGATACCTAGGTACCTACTCAGCTGCCTACCCGAAGGTGAGAAAGTAGAAATCTGGCCTCCTACTGTAGTTTGTGGTAATACACATATAGCACCTTTTCTAAACAGACAGATAGGGTGTTCAGATGACTAAATGGGGTGTCCACTTAGTAGTGCCCTCAAGTTGGTTGCACTCCCTGATTAGGATCAAATCCTGCAGCCACAAATACTTTACTAGTAGTGTAGGGAATTCCAAAGCATTTTCAATAGTATTTAACCCGAAATCCTAGACTCCATTCGCTATTTTGGTATCAATCTAGTTTAGTAATGCTCCCACTCGCTTCCGCAAATATCCACAAATGCTGATGCGATTCATGTACTAGACACCAAAAAATGCTCCTCAATCATCAATCAATGCGACGCGCAGGCTGTGACATGTCCTTGTATGGGCACCTCTCGGCCAACTCCTTGGCTATCTTTGGCGACACTGGGTCCACATGGCTCTGTTTCTGATGGGATTGCAGTCGTAGCTGGTGCTGTAGTGACCAGTCCCTTCGAGCTGGCGAAGCAAGACGAACGATCATGGTTGAGATCTTCTCCATAAAACTCGTCCAGAATGGGGTGCAGCATCACGGTCTGCTTGTGAATTGTGACCACCGAGTTTGCAGGTACTGCGACCCAGTTGTCTATGATGAGTGTTAGTATTGGATGTCATTGAGCTTCACAGGTTGGAAAACCAAGGGAGAGACTTACGTCGTTCGAAAGTGATAGGCTCACTGGCGACTAACACGATGTCAGCGCCCTTATCATGACGCTCCATCTTAAAGTGCCCCTTCGTGTTCCCCTCCTTCCACTTCGTACCAGACGAGAAGTACAGGCTAGCAGGCTCATCCGTCTTACTGCTGATGTACCGCGTGCAGATGACAGTATGACCATCCGTCACAGCAAAGTTGAGCAGACTCCTGGTCTCCAAATTGGTAACATTGTGCTTCTGAGGAATCTCGCGCACAAGCTCATTTATCTTGGCAATTGTCTTCATCATGACCCGGCGCAAAAGGGCCTGCCCGAATCCCTCCGGACCTGGATCCGAACTCGGATCCACACCCTCCTTCTCAAGGAGGTCGAGGAAAAGTGCAAAAGACCACTCACTATCGGTACCTCCCTTGACGCCCAAGTACCACTTGTCAGCCAGGGAGTCGGCGAGAGGCCGCTTGATGTATTGGAATCCGCCGACGCCGCCGTTGTGCATCCACATTAGGGTCTGGTGCTGGAAGGGGTGGCAGTTGTTATCGGCCAGGGCGCCCTCTGTGGTTGCGCGCACGTGGGCGAAGATCAGATTGGAGCAGGTCTTAGAAGCGAGACGTTCTAGGTTCTCACAGTTCCACGCTGGGAGCGTGGATGTGAAAATGCATGGCTCTGGGCCTAGCTTAGGGTCGGTGTAGAACCCGACGCCGAAGCCATCGCCATTTACTGGCCGGCGGTTATCCTGGAATTCATAGTTAGTTTGATGTATGGAAGGTGATGATTTTCTCCCACGAGTTTCTACGCCGTAGAGAGCTCGATTGTTTTGAGTGGCGGAGACCTACTAATCGTAACCTGGAGTCATATGATTGTGTGAGGATAGAATGACTTGGCTCTGTGACCAGTTTACTGAGACGAATCTCGTCTAGTCCTTTGTAGATCTGCGAGTTGATTGTTAGAGGTTGGTCCCAACACATTTACGCATTTGAAGTTGACTCACCAGAAATCGACACATGTCGGGGGTATATTCAAGCCCGTTGGTGTCTATATACGAGTGAATATAGATCAAAGATGTTAAGTAGTATGGGCTGTATCTTGGACGCGATTTGTGAAGGACCGAGAGAGAATCTGGAACAGCAGTTCTCAAATCGGGAGTTGGTGGTTTGGTTAGGCGTTGACGGGTAGAAGTGTCACCGACTATCTGAGAGAGAGAGAAGACCAATGAACCAACCACAGTTGAGCAGTTCCACGCCAAGTTCAACTACGGATAGATAGAGAGAGAAGAAAAATATGAAAGAATGATTCACAAAAATAAAAACAAACAGAATCCCCTTAGACACACACCGCACTCACTTCCCTTGCACAGCACGTCATTTCGTGACACGTGACCCTTCATGACTACGGCGGGCGAAGCGGCCACATCGCGCGGGTCAGGTTGATGTCAGCGGTGGATCTGCAAGTTCCAACACCTTAACTTACTCTTGAAATCCCATCTTGCATGAGATTCGACAACAACCATGAGCGGGAGAATCCTCTCCCATAGACTCGCCCCGCTAGTGCGGAACGGGGTGGCCCGCAACTTCCATCATGCTGGCTCAAGAACAGGAGGCCTGTTGCGCGCCGATGGAGGTGCCGCTTTGAGGGGACGCGCATGGCCGATTGGTGCAAGTGCTATTCATAATGTCCCAGCTGTTCGAGAATTCTCCTTCAAATATGCCCGTTTTCTCCCCAAGCTGGCTCTCAAGTTTGCTCGCATACCGGCTATGTTCGGAGGAGCTACGGTCGCCGGTCTAGCTTACGTCCAGTATCAAGCCACCCGTACGTACTTTTTTTTCTCTGTGGTTCCGGAAACGTATCATTTACTAATACATACTTCTATAGAGGCTGGGAATTATGCAATCGATATTTTCAAGACCGCCGGAGAGACAGCAAGCAACACGGCATCGGGCCTATTCCAGGGCCTTCAGGATATCGCGGATCAAACACAACGGGGATGGAACAATACAACAGGAGATATCGAAACCCCTGAGTGGCTTCAAAAGATTCTCCGACAAGATGAGGAATCCCAATCTGGTGGCTCGGGTGGCGATAAAGAGCCAAAGGAGGGCCGGGCTGTAGTCGGAGCAGCCGCTGCTTCTGGCGCGGCGTTTGGTTACGATCAATCAAACGAGGACGACTCCCGACCCGAGCAACAGGTTGCCGAAGATGACCAGATGATGCTTCTTACCCGCAAAATGATTGAAATTCGAAACATCCTCCAAACCGTCGGTCAATCAGGAACCCTGACTCTTCCCTCCATTGTCGTTATCGGGTCGCAGTCGTCTGGTAAAAGCTCGGTCCTGGAAGCTATTGTGGGCCATGAGTTTCTACCCAAGGGTTCCAATATGGTCACTCGGCGACCTATCGAACTGACTCTGGTCAACACCCCCAATGCACAAGCAGAGTATGGTGAATTTCCAGCCTTGGGACTTGGCAAAATCACCGACTTCTCCTCGATCCAACGAACCCTGACAGACCTCAACCTCGCGGTCCCGGAAAAGGATTGTGTCTCCGATGACCCCATCCAGTTGACAATCTATTCACCCAATGTTCCAGACCTATCCATGATCGATCTTCCTGGTTACATTCAGGTCGCTGGACACGACCAACCCCCAGAGTTGAAGCAGAAGATCGCAGACCTTTGTGACAAATATATCCAAGCACCCAACGTCATTCTAGCGATTTCAGCAGCTGATGTCGATCTTGCGAACTCAACAGCGCTGCGATCTAGTCGTCGCGTGGACCCCCGCGGAGAGCGTACAATTGGTGTTATTACCAAGATGGATCTCGTCGACCCTGAACGAGGCCATGATGTTCTATGCGACAAGAAGTATCCTCTCAGACTGGGCTACGTGGGCGTCATCAGTCGGAACCCCCAAACATCAGCTCTCTTCTCTCGAGGATCCGGAAACATCACGAGCGCTATCTTGAAGAACGAAAATGCTTTCTTCTCGGCACACCCAGCCGAGTTTGGCGCTCACTCAGAGACCTCGGTCGGTGTATCAACACTGCGTAAGAAGTTGATGCATGTTCTCGAACAGACAATGGCCTCCAGCTTAGCGGGCACGAGAGATGCCATCAGCCAGGAGCTTGAAGAGGCAACATATGAATTCAAGGTGCAATACAATGACCGACCATTGAGTGCGGAATCATACCTCGCCGAGAGCCTGGACAGCTTCAAGCATTCGTTCAAAGCATTCGCCGAGAGCTTCGGTCGACCGCAGGTTCGGGAGATGCTGAAGGCAGAACTCGACCAACGCGTTATGGATATCTTGGCGCAGCGCTACTGGAACAAGCCAGTAGAGGACTTAGAAGCCGTCATGACTGAGCTCGATCCATTGAAAGATTTACCCAAGGCCGACCCGGAGTCCTTGTTCTGGCACCGCAAGCTAGATGCATCTAGCTCTTCTTTGACAAAACTCGGAATCGGCCGCCTCGCCACCACAGTCGTCGCCAATGCCCTCCAAAACCATGTCGACCAGCTTCTGGCGTCTTCTACCTTTGCCTCCCACCCCTGGGCTCACAAGCAGATTACCGACGCCTGCAATAGTATCCTGAATGATCGATTCTTCAGTACTAGTGATCAGGTGGAGAACTGCATCAAGCCTTATAAATTCGAAATCGAGGTTGAGGACTCGGAATGGTCCAAGGGGAGGGAAAACGTGAGTAGGGTGTTGAAGGATGAGCTCCGGGCTTGCGAGTCAGCCATGAAGCATGCCGAAGATCTCGTTGGAAAGAGAAAGCTCAAGGATGTAATGGCATTCATCGACAAAGTGCGGAAGGGTGATGTGGTACTGGAGGGCAATGGCGCTGGGGGTGCCGGTGGCTTCAGTTCTGCCCTGCTCGAGAGAGGTAAGTTACATAATTACTCTGATTAAGGATCAAAACCCCCATCTCAGAGCTCGAGACTAACTTACCATTTAGGCCGAGATGGCATCTTCCTCAGGGACCGAGCTGACCTCATCAAAATGCGAATGATGGCTGTGCGATCCAAGCAGTGCGCATCTCAAAAGAACAAATACCATTGTCCAGAGGTCTTCTTGGATGTGGTAGCGGATAAGCTCACGTCAACGGCAGTGCTGTTCCTCAACGTTGAGCTTCTCTCTGAATTCTACTACAACTTCCCCCGAGAACTGGACCTGCGTCTCGGCAGACACCTTTCGGACGAAGAGGTTGAGCGGTTTGCCCGCGAAGACCCTCGGGTCCGCCGTCACCTAGACATCATCCGCAAGAAAGAACTACTGGAACTGGCACTACAGAAGATCGAGGGTATCCGACAGCTGGACGGTCGAAGCATGCACCGCAGTTCTGACCGTGCGCAGGCCGCGAAAGAAACTCGCAGCCGCTGGAATATCTTCTAAGGATGGCCTGTTCCGATCTACGAATCTGTGCTTTTCATTCCTCTTTCAAACCCCCCTCTCCCCCTTCCCGGTTAGACACACTCGCACCACAGTTGTAATTTTGATACCTTTCACTCGTCCCATATTCCCCTCTTTCTGTTTCTGGAGAATTTTACGGTCTCTTTCTATCTTGAGATAACTTGTCACTTGTACATACAGTTGAAATCAAAACAAATCACCTCATATATCCACGCGCGCATCACAGTGTCGAAAATTAGATGTCAGATCGGCTCGCATGTTTTGTACTCTGCTATGCGCCCTCCTAGTAGGGATTGATACACACTAGTACCTAGATAGTAATTACTTAGTACTTATCTGGTTAGGCTCCGAGAGACGAGTACTCCTAGTAACTCGAAGCTCCAGTCGCATTCTAAGTTGTAACCTAGGTACCTAGGTAGGTATGGTCAACCTTCGAACCTGATTATTTGCGGACTGTTGTGGACGTAATTAAAGGAGAACCTAGATGCATTCCAAATTGAACAAAGCTCAGGCATTCATTTGATGTAGCTGTAAGTAAATAATCAAGAATTCTCAAAATGACGAGAGACAACCTTCAACATAAAAAGAGTAACACCGTATCCTCTTGTCCCTAGATTGATAAACATGAAATAATTAAATGGCACACAAGTACATAAAGCACTGGTCACTTGGCGGCCATTGCAGCAAAATGTGCAGTGGCAGCTCATCCCATGACTGGCGAAGCAAGACGGCGATTTTCAGCCACTACCCATCTCATGAATGGTATTGTGAACCTCGTGGTTCGCTGTTGAGCCTCCATCTCTTGAATAGTGACGAGAATGGCGGCTTTCCTTGGGTTTAGGGGAGAAAGGGCCGGCGATGACTGATTGATCTGACATCGGATGTGAGTTGAGATTCGTAGATTGAAATTAGTAGTGGCTGTTCATACCTGGTAGCTCGTAATGTGTCTGATTCTCCGACTCGTCCTGAGACTGCGGATGATAATAGTTTCCTGGAAGCTCCGCCACAAAGTTTTTCTTTTCTTTTCCAGACTGCGACGATAATTGGCTCGACTGTCGCCGCCGCCTAGATGTCGACCCCCATCGTGGGTGTTCAGTTAGAGATTGAGCACCGGATCGGCTCGATGAAGACTCTGACATGCCGTCTGTCTCTAGTCGTGGAGACTGCAATGGGGACGAAGGCTGGAACAGGTTTGAACGATTGGCAGGATTGATGGTCTTGAGTTTACCATCTTCCATGAAGGCCTCCAAAACGCCCGCATCGAGAAGTTCGGCTTTCTTCATTAGTCTTTCAACGAGCACTTTTGATGCTGCCTTCATTTGACTCTTAACAAATGAAACCAACGTTAGATTGCACTCGATTGTGATGTCCTCCCGTAGATAGAGTCCATTTTCCGGCTCGCCGTCAACTCGAAACTCCTTCGGGTGACGCGGTTCATTAGGTTGATTTCCAGAGATGCGCCACTTGCTCCGAATATCGATGCCCAGTGGAACGAACGTGTGGGTTTGTAAACCCCATGGAGTATTGTGGAAACTGCCCTTGAAACTTATCTTGCCGGCTCCCAGCCTCCCTAAGCCGGGAAGATATTGAACTCGCTCGATAATCTCATACCAGGTAGAATAATATTCATCTGCGGCGGCATCTCTGGGCGCTGTGATCGGATGATAGGACAGCACAAGTGGATTAAGTGTGATGATTTCACCGTGGCTGTGCAGTATATCCAGCGCTAGCTGACGAGGGACAGACGAGGGGATCGGAGTGATGCTGATATAGGATTCCTTTTTCCGCAGCATTTTGCACTATTTTCTTGATACTCAGGATATAGTTAGGTGCAGATCTGCTTCAGGTGTGCGCAGATGAGCCGTTAAAGTAGCGCGCAAGAGCATTGAAGTTGACATTTTGGCCCCTCGTATTCTGTGCTTACGCAGGCGCCCACATAATCAAGTCCACACGGTCTTCATGGGTCTGACTACGCGCTAGTACTATTTTGGCGAGTGCAATGCATCTCTCTTAACCTTCACTTTTCAGCTATCATCATCAGCAGTTGGAATGTTGATTTTGTGCAGATATCACGGCCAGTGGTAGAACTGTCAGAATCTGCTCACTCTGCGAAAGTTTTTTTTTACAGCAGAATGTAGTATATCGTCCTCAAAGATCGCATCTGGATTTGACACCATTTGCTCGATTATACTATCCTCCCAATTGCAGTACTAAATATCGCGAAAAAAAAAATCATATTTCTCCACAAATTTAATAGAGTGTTCACTTTATTCCACCGGCACCTTCATCCATTTTATTCAACCAATACAAGGGGTCATTGAAACAAGTACCGCAGTCTTTGTAAGCGTGGTTATCACGAAAACGACCTAATAGGTAGAGGTTTGATATTGCCACTGTGAATAAGAAGTACAATCCAGAAAGGCAAAAAGGACAAATAGAAAATACAGGCCAATGATACCGAGAACAAAGCACCCGATCTTCCAGACCCAGGAGCCTACCCATTCGAAGGGCAATTTTCCATCTACTAGGTGCGATCTGTCATCAGCTAGTAAGGTAATCGCAGATTCTGCGGCGGAAATAGTTAGCTTCTTGATTTCGCGATTTTTTGGTGGCGCAATGTTTATCCTGAACCCTGGGATTTTTAGGTCTGAGACTAGTGAGACCCACCTGGATGGGGAACAATTGCTAGTCTTTATAGCAATTATCTTGAAACTCCAATGAGCCTTTTACATCGGAATACTATATTTTACACCCTGATACCTAGGTAATACGTACCAATGGCAGTATTAGTAGTATTTCTAGAATTCGGGATTGAATATCTTCAAGTTTCTGGTAACCTTGGAATGAACTACCTAGTCGGGAGAAATACGGATCTGAAAATTGTGAGCCGTGGACCAAGGCAAAAAGACATCAAGAATTAGGAATGGCCACCTCTCTGTTGAATTACTAGATTGACGAAATCTTATGAGCCCTAAAAGTAAGAACTGCAGAAACTTCAAGCTGAATCTACGCTTCAGCCTCGACGCCTCAGCCTCACTCTAGGGTTAGCTTACAAACCAGATCGGTCAGAATTCACCTTTGTACATTTTCAATAAGCGCACATACTTATCTCGAAAAATTCACGTGCCATGATTGAACTTGAAAATTGACTCTATAGTATTTGTGGGATAGAAGCTGGGCAGCGAGATGGGCAGCGAGATGGGCAGCGGTCTGGGTCACGGTTTATGACTACGTCAGCCTCCGAGTCCTTCCCTCGTCTCTATAATCTACTCCCATCATCCTTTGTCCCCAATCCACCGTAATTCTCCTCAACTTGCTCCATTGAAATAATTTCACCTACTTTCACCTTGAAACATGCGATTTTGGCAAAATGGGACGACTGCGACATTTATTCGTCGACTACCGCCTATGGTATTCGTATACTCCTTGGTGATCCTGCTGGAGCTGGAGGAAAGTGTGCAGAGAGTACCTACCATTTGTCTTCTTGAAAACACCATCTGTCAAAGACTCCATCGATCAACATATATAACTACCCTTGTAGATGAGAAGATGTGCAAGGAAAACCCGGTCCAAGTGCAGTTGGCGTACTATCGAGGTCTGTTGAGCTTTTTTGATAGTCTACCATGTGAGTCATCCGCGCTCTGAAATTATCTTTCAAGAAAGGATGTAGTGCGAGCCCAACATAGTGATACTGTTTAGTTCTGTCATCGGCAACATTGCCGATTATTATGAGCGTCGTATAAGCTTCGCCCTGGCCGTCTTTGGTACACTCTGTAGCATGTGTTGGATTTATATGACATGGGAGTTCCGCTATTCATTTTAAAAGCAAATATATTTACACTGCAACAAAAGCTTACTCCAAAGCCATGCAGGCTCGTTGTGGGATATCTTTCCTATCGAGGTTGTTTGGCTATCCTCCTTTTTTAGATTTGTTGGCGGCGGTCCAGCCATCGCGATTGCAATTTGTCTTACTATGGTATCGGATCTTTCGGAAGAATCAAATAGGTATATCTGAATTATGCAATTATATCACTTGATACCTAACGGGAAACTAGGAGCAACGGCTTTTATCGCGTGTACTCAGCCGTATCAATAACAGATATCATTGGACCTCTCATCACATACAGAAGCCTTCAAAATTCGCTTTGGCTGCCATATGTGCCAGTGCGCTTCGAGATAGAGCTTGGAAAGTCAAGTCAGCGGACAGATCACTTAAGACAGACCTTCTAACAGGAACCAGGTTGCAACTCTGCTGTCCTTGTATCGGCTGTGAATATTATAGCATTCTTGATTGTGTTGCCCATTATCTCTTCGGCGCTAGAGAAACGAGCGGGCTGGTCTATCACCGACATCAACATTTGTGTTGCCCGGGCCAGCAGCTTCCTGCTCGGTCTTGGGGCAGCAACAGTGGCAGTTGCCCCTACGCTAAGCTTGGTCTTTATCGGTAATTCCAAGCGAGAAAGCCGATAGTTTGGCCAGTGCTAACATAATTCACAGCACTTATGGTATATGCGCTAGGATTCGGCGTGCTGCTTTCAATTCTGGCTGCTCTGACATCATATATCCCCATATCGAGCGATACAGCAAAATTATACACACTGGTGGCAACTACCGATGCCATCGCTCATCTGATTGCGAGCCCCATGTTATAGTATACGTGGAGCAGGGCTTTGAAAATTAGTGGTCGATGTCTTACTCTACATTTCATGCGTTTGACGGTACACGGTTTTCTGTCATCTTTAGAACTAACAGCTGACATCTGATCTAGGTCATTTTCTTCTCCGCATTTGTAATGGCTTGTTTCATGAGGGGAGAATCAAAGCAAACGGTGGATGAGAGTCATTCGGATGAAGAGCGGGAGCCGCTACTTGTAGCTAGTGAAGAAGCAGATAATCAGACTCAGGGCCTGACAAACGAAAGACTAGGCTGACTCAGAATCTATAGATACCAGCAGTGAGCTCAAACAGCTTTTATAGAAGAAACAAACGAGATCCATGATATCTTCAAAATTCCAGTGTCCAGGTGGGCATATCGATCGGTATTACTACTAGTACATAATCCGCCAAGGATTAACCAGTTTTGATCACCATGATAGTATGTAGTCCACATATACAGAAAATTACAGGCACCTGGGCACTACCTAGTACCTAGGTATGATATACTAGTAGTAATGTTGTGGTAGTCTCTACTAGTAGGCTTGACTTGTAGGTTTGACTGTAGGCTATCATGAGACTACTACTAGTATGTCCATGTATCATATTCAACCAGCTGCTAATAGTCAAAGTTCGAAAAGAGATAAAGCAATGTAGTATTAATCAAACTTAGAAGGCTATAGTATTCAAAATGTGGCTTTCCACGAACATCATACCTCACCCTGTTGATAGCAGTCCATCTTCCACAAAATTTAGTATTCGCCTTGGGAGCCGGAGTCTGAATATTCCGAGTCATAGTCTGTAAAGTCGTCCTCAAATTCCCCCGAAAAGCCATTTGGAAAATCATCAGGCGGAGGATATGTGAGACCAGCACTATCAAGTCGAGATCGGCCCCACATCATATAGGCCTGTCGCCGTGATTTATCATTGAAGGCACAGTATACAAGAGATGATGACATCGTGTACTGCTCTTCCCAAATATTCCTCCACTGGACCCATGACCATATCTCTTCTGAGTCACGGTCTGTATCATGATAGAATGGCGGGAAACTTTTGCTTGCCTGATTATCCAATGGAAGATCCATGAGTAATCGTTTCAACTCGCGCTTGGACTTTCTATCGTAATCATTGAATGTATCGCTGATAAATCCGAGGCTATTGTTCCAACTTTTGCTCGAAATAATAGGAAGATATGTAATCCCACTACTTTCATCGGTATATGTGAGATCGTAACCACTGGCATTGTATGCATCCACCATTTCTTTGATATTGGCCAACCCTGAACTCATTGATACTGCGTTCTTTTTTTGGTTTGGTTATAATTATCACTGTCCCTTGTCCGAGGGTACCGCATTCCTACGATTACTATATTTTAAGTTCCAGAAATAGTGGGGAGAAGATTGGATTAAGAGTATACAAACCTCGCTTCATGATTTTCTTGAAGTATTCATATACATAAGCCAATTGCTCGTTTTCCCAAGGAGCAAAGTGTTTGAAAAAATCATCTCCCCATCGAAGGGGCTCCAAGGCCCGCGATCGACAAACTGGTCGGCAGACTCGCGGCGAGCAACCCAACTGTGACGACGCGTTCGGAATAACTGGCAGCACATTTCATACCTATAAAAACTGCGGTAAACCCGGACTTTCTCCATTTTTGATAAGAGATTCGATATCCTCAGCCGTCACACTTCCAGGTTTGCACGCGTAGAGAAAACGTAGGCCCTCTCTTACAAAAGTCTCGAACAAATGCTCGACTAGCTCGTGAATCTTAGCCGATGAAGAAGGAAAATTACCTTGCAGTGGCTTCAACCTTGGTATGGCCGGTCTAATCATAATATCAAGGTTCACTTTGCTTTGAGCGAGAAATGGACGAATTGGCTATGCTCAGTTAAACTGGTGACTCGGTTCCTGGAAATGGGCGTTTTGTATTTCCTCACCTTCTCCTGAAGTGTTGGAGTGGTTTCACTGCTTTGCTTTCAACATAGACTTTTTCGCAATCCAAGAATAACAGTTTTTGCTACATGTTTTATGCTTTCGTTATGTAATTCTAGAGTACTCCCACGGTTCAGAGTCAAGTAATTCTTTCACTACGGTCGAATCGATTTCTACAGGCATCATGAAAGGAAATTTGGAAGAAAATCATTGGCTCAAATAGGTCACACAATGATCCCAGACCCAGTCTATCGATATACCATAGCGTACAACCCAAAGAGAAAAAGAAAAGAAGCTGAAACGAACAAAGATAAAAAGGAGAGCGGATTAATGCTTTTTCCTCTCTGATTACCCGCACAGAGGGCGCTTGTCGAGCGGATAGATATCCTCAGCCCACATCAATGCGATGAGGAAAAGTATACATGGGAGAGATGAAAGAGATGGACCGAAAAACATCAAACTAACAGCGCCCCCAGGAGCGGGTTATCGGAAACTGAGAATCGGGTGGTGGATGGATATGTCTATCACAGAAAAGGACGGAACGGAGAAAATAAAAGGAAACCCAAAATGGTTGACAAAGGTGGTGGCGTGGAGGTGGTATTGCGTTTCAAACGTGGCCCTCAGGGGGGGGGGGGGTTCAACGGACATGGAGGTGAAGGTTGTCCGGGAATTTAACAGAAAGGAAATTGATGGCCGTGTAACGGAATTGTTACAGACGGCTTTTGACATGGCTTGCATGTGGGATGTTTACTCGCGGGAGACGTCACGGCCGAAGAGGCGGGCCTTGATCCAGTCAACGGCGACCAGAACACGGTTGCGGGCTGTTGTAAAAGTTAGTGGTATGTCAAAAGAGGTGAAAGGTGGTATTGAATGCGATGAAACTTACAGCTGAAGCACATGCTCAGGTAGGCACTGCGCCAGAAGAGGTAGGTCAGGGTACCACCGCTAGCAATGTTTCCGGAGAGCCAGGAGATGTCGGCAACGGCACGCTCCTTGCCAATGTAGGCCAAGCTACCCTGGTGGGAGTACTGGAAGGGACCCATCTGCTTGGTGCGGCGCAGCTGCTTCTGGCGCTCGCGGATCTCATTGAGGATCTCGTTGCGCTCATCGTTGGACTTGGCCTGAGACTGGGTGTCGGACAGGTGCTGGAGCTCCTTCTCGATGGTATCAGTCTTAGCCATGGTGTTGAAGAGGCGGGCCAGGAAAGCACCCTCCTGACCAGCGACCTGAGCAGTAGGAGCATAGTTGGTAATGGCACAGTCGCCAACGGCCCAGACGTTCTCAGCACCGTTCACGACAAGGTACTCGTTGACAGCAAGACCGCGGCGGGAGTCCTTCTGGGCGGGGATCTGGCCCATCAAATCGCGGACAACAGGGCGAACAGCGTTACCAGTAGCCCAGACCAGGAGACCGTAGGGGATTTTCTCGATAGACTTGGATCCATCGGGGTTGGTAACCTGGGCCTCAATGTACTTGTCGGTGACATTCTTAACCATAGTCTTAGTGCGGATGGTAATCTCTTCCTCCTTGAAGGTCGATTCGGTGTAGTCAATCAGTTGCTTGGAGAACATGGGCAGAACGTTGGGCAGGGCCTCGACCAGGGTAACGTGGAAGTTGTGCTGAATCTCGGGAATCCACTTCTTCAGATCATCGTTGAAGAAGTCCTGGAGCTCACCGGCGAACTCGACACCAGTGGGGCCACCGCCGACGACGACCATGTGCAGCAGGCGCTTGACCTCGTCATCGGTTTGATCCTTGAACATAGCAGTTTCGACACAATCCATGACGCGCTTACGGATGTTCTGAGCATCGTTGACCTCCTTCAGGAAGCACGAGTTCTCACGAACACCAGGGATACCTAGAAAGTCTTTGTTAGTTCAGTGTTCATCGGGGTAAAAGCTCGCATGGAAGGTGTTGTCGTACCAAAAGTAGCGTTCTCGGCACCAACACCGATGACCAGCATATCGAAGGGAACCTCAGTGTGAGAAATGTCACCCTTGATTTCAGAGTCATCACTGATGTGGACAACACGCTTCTCGTAGTCGATCTTGGTAGCCTCGGCTTCGAAAAACTTGACGGTGGCCTTCTTCTGGCGGAGAATGTTGCGGATGGGCTCCATGATCGAGCGGTGCTCGATCAAACCGGTGGTACATGAGGGCAATAGGGGAGTGAACAGGAAGTAGTTACGGGGGGGAGACGACGATGACGTTGTAGTTCTCGGTATCGAGTTTCTTCAGGAGGGAGACTGCACCCCAACCGGTTCCTACAGGAGCGAGGGTATTAGCAAAGCTCCAGATGGAACCAACAGATTAGAAATTGGGTGCGACGATAGCATACCGAGAATGACCAGGGTCTTCTTCTCTGGGTCGGGCTCAATCTGCTCCTCGGGGTGACGAAGGGAGTAGATGCTGAAGGACAGGGCACCGGTGAGACCGAGGGCGGACAGCCAGGTCAGACGCCATGCCCAGCGCAGGACGCGGAAGCGCTTCTTGGGCTTGGGAGCGGGCGAGGGCGAAGGAGTAGCAGGCGAAGGAGACGGGGCGGCATCAGCGTAGCCGCGGCGAGCAATACGCGAGATGGACTGGAAGTTAGGGCGGAGCGGCTCTGCGCGGAGGGCCTGCGAGGTCGCGATGGAGCGGCGCGACAGCGAGGACAGCTGCACAGTAGACCGGGAGGCCATTAAGCGCATTGCTAGCGAAGTGCCAGCCATGATGGTGGAAGTCCCAGGTGAAGCTGGGGGGGGAAGATAATTGGAGATGGACAGGAGTGAAGGTCGAAGAGTCACAAGCTCAAGGAGAGAAGTACCCTAAAGGTAAAGTGCAATGGGAAAATCCCAAAAAAAACTGTGATAAGGCGATTGCGTTGCTGTTTCGGGCGAATCGGTGTAATCGGTGTGTGCGGAGGGTCCACTTAAGCCTGTAAGTATGTAATCCACCTACGGAGTACTCACTAAGTAATACTGTCGGGTACTTGCTTTGCCATATGTTTTACTATGGCCCACCATGTACCTTTCGCTCCGGTTTAACGGAGCTCTCTCACCCTGCTCCGCATCCACTACTGTCTACTAATTAGCGTAATAGGAATTGTCATTCCCTTCAATTGTCTCCCGCAAGTCCGATACCTCTTATTGTTAATCCATTGTTGATTTTTTTTTTTTGAGGGCTCGAGTCGAGGAGTCATTTGAGGCGGGTAAGCCCAGCTCCGAACTAGCTCCGAGCTGCCATTGCAGGACCCAGTTTTATTTCATTTTATTATTATTACTTTTCTCTGCTGCGGCAAAAAGGGCAATCAATGAGCTGGAAAGGGTAAAAAAAAAAGGGAAGTGAAAAATAAAATTGGAGATGTGAGGGGAGCTCCTTCACAATCTCAAGCCCGGTGAGGAGAAATTAACCGCTGAGGAGAATTGACCCTTTCCCCCCATTTTATGCCCATATCTACAGTACTGTACTACTTGTGTGCTCCATCGATTATTGTTCTTTTGAAATATCCAAATAATTTCCACGTGAAAGCCTCTCTACTCAACCCCCTCTCTAGCCCTATTTCTCCCTTCCCCCATTCCTCTTCCCCCAATCCATCCGATATCACCCGCCATGCGGCCCCGGGAAATATCGTCGAACTCGCAGGGTTTACAACCTAGCCCTATCCATGGGGGAAATCTAGAATCTGGGGAAAGTCTCACTGGTCCACCCCATTCCGTCCCAATTTCACCCCCCGTATCTAGCTCATCCCCTACCCGAGCTATTTTCGGTAGGAGTCGGCGCTCAGTCAAATGACTCGAAAAGCTGAGGGACTCTTTCAGCTCCCGGTCACCCTTGAAATATGACGTAGTTTGACCGCGGAAAGACTCGCCATTGGCCTGCCATGCGGATGGGACGGCCCTAGATAATTTCTAGAACAGTTCACCGAATTAATGTCCGCCTCCTTAGCTGTTCTAGATGGCAACTCCTGACCGAATCTAAAGGGTTTCCGTGGGGTCGTGCCCTTGGCGACTGGTGTTCACATTGAAAACGCGATCATCTTTTTCTTTTCTTGTCTTTTTTGCCATAGACACTCACGTGGATATTTTCAAGTTCAAGCAAGGCAAATAATTCCCCTAATTGTGGTGATCTATCTGATGTAAGAACTTGAACCCCCCCCTGATTCGCGAAAGCTCCATCGACACTTGGAAGCAATATAGCAAATTTCCTGTTTCAAGTTCTAGTCCACAATACAGATCATTCAGCTCCGTTGTCAAAGATCCATCCCCGTCAGAGGTTAAATATGGGTAAAGAATATAAGCATGGAGAAAATAAGAGCGAAAAATACGGTAAATATCGCGAATGCATACATAGACCCACCAATAAAGAGACCACAAAAGTTACCAATAGCTTGAGCAGAGCAGAAATTCATTAAATACAAGAAGAAAATCCGAACAGAATTTGGAAGTGATGAAATGGTTGAACAAAGAAGCGAAGTCGAAACCGGAGCTTGACTTGGGACTGGCCCGGGCCTTAGAGTCGGACTTGACGTTCAACCCATCAAGGTATAGCTCCAGGAAGTACTGACTACTCCCATTTAAATGCAAATCCAAAAAGTACCATAGTACAACTCGCGATTTAATAGCTACAGCAATCCAGAATAATACGAGAAGCAGAGGTAGGACGGCAAAGGCAAGAGTCCATGCTCAGAGCATCAATTTTCAAGGTGCGTGGTCGATTTCGTGGAGGAAGGTGAGGATGAAACTGGTGTCGGCTTCGGAGAAAGAGCGGATTGGAATGCTCGCAGTGGTGGCTTGCATTTTGGGTGAGTTCTGATACCAAGTCAAAAGGCTATAACAAGACTTGATTTCTTGAAGGTTGAGGATCCTGAGGTGGTGCAGAAAGTATGGAGTCTTAAGAGTGTGGGTTCGGGCCGCTCCAAAATGATGATAAAGTGACAGTTGTGACCTTGGAACGAGCGACATTCAGGAGACAAATAGTACTAGTGTATTGATCAATGACCTTGGTTCACGTAAAGAGTCTTATCATATTTGGGGGTATGGGTCTATGGATCTTCGCTTCTCCCATATTCGGTCATGTCATCGCATGATTGAAACACATTTCATCATCTAGATGATCTATCGCGAAAATCAAGTATATCGGGGACATCTCCTTCAGTAAGATGAACGGGATAGCTCCAGCCTTTCCAGTATAAGAAATATGAATCTATATGAATCAAGTCACTCTGGCTGACCGACTGAGATGGTTGCCACTCTGGAACACCGCACATTAGAACGCAGTTTTTTAGCCATCCGATTACTTACTCTGATTCGAAATTTTACTCCTCGATATCCCGTATCTGCCCAGGTGCCCCAATCGACCTACAGCGCTCCATGGCACTATTCGTTTCTCGAACATCCAGGGTCTGTGGATGTTATCAAATACGCCCGGCCTGGCACCGACGCTGCCGAATATCCCACCATTCGTTGCAAAGCGATTCTCGAGCGACTGAGGTGTTTTGTGACCGATTGCTCAGGGAAAATTATCCAAAGTTTACACCTAGCAAAGCTTTCACTTTCACTAGGCCGTTGAATATCACCATCCCAGCAAGCGCCGGTGGCAGGAAGAGGTTCCTTTCTAGACAATGAGGAGGAGTATCAGGAAATTTCTCCTCGGCTTTGGGCCACTGCCTGTCCACTCTGGTTCGAAGCGGTGAAGTTGGGACCCGGCATTTGCGAAGACATTCATGATATTTTTAATCGAGTTCTAGTAATTATCATGGCCAACACCTCGAATAACTCAACTCCAGTTTGGGCTATAAACGACCCAGCAAGGACTATCCCGCAGAGCGCTGTCGGTAATCTCCTATTATTTGGGTGTCTTGCGTTGCTCATGCTATCTAGATAATTCCTACGGATTTGCTTAGCAAGATAAAGGCAACTCTGAAAAACGACATCGTCGAAATACCCCCCCGTGGCAGTTAAGGTCTTTCCTAACACTTTTATTATGGTAGATCCTACAGGGAGGATCGAAGTCAGTTTCACCCCTTTATTCTGTTCAATTCCAATATCGGACGATGGACCGAAAGTTCGATCTTTTTCAGCGTCCGACCAGAGAGTCTATATGGTGAAGATACCCGAGGATCTTCCATTGCCACTGGCAGAATTCAAGTCAAAATTGCCCTGACATGCTTTAATTCCACCAGACATTACCTCTAGTAGTGTAAGCCATTTACAGATAGTGCCAGAATACCAGAAGGTAAATGATTTTGTTTGAAAAAAACACATCCAAAGCTTGACTATTTATACATGTACACTGCTCAAAGTAGAGCACAAAGGAAGAAGCCCACACTAACAGTCTCTGTCCAAAAACCCCGTCTACCAGAGTCTGTTCTCAGGCAGAACCTTCTCCTTCTTAACACCAGCAGTCGACTTACGCTCCTCAGGCGAGCGGAAGAACAACGAAGGACCCTCCATGGGCTTCAGCAGGTGACTCAAGTAGCCACGGTGGGCAGGGTCACGGTAGTACTCGACATCACGACGGCGGGTAGGATCAGGCAAACGATAGCGGAGACCAAAAGCCTTCATGATATTCGACTCGGACAGATCCTCCGGCGCCTTCTCAGCCTTGAGCAGCTCCTTGGACCCGCTCTCAGCGGACCAGGCCATGGAGATAAAAGTGTGCGACTCCATGCGGAGAATGTGTCGGATGGACTGGCGGGTGTAGAAGCGAGTTGCAACGGAGCCGCCGGCGGCCTCGATGGCGGAGATGGCGGATGCTGAGGCGCGCGAGACGACGAGGTGGATTGGTTGTTTCAGGGCCGAGTCAGGGCCGCCGAGGATCTTGACGCCGTCTTTGGATTGGTGGATGCAGCGCGAGTGTGTCAGTTCGCGGATTGTAATTGGGCGCGCTGGGTCGATGCGGCCTTGGTCGATCCATTCTTGTATGCGTGAGAGGTTGACAGGGGCGTACTCGGTGTGAAGCCTGTTGCGGGGGTGTTAGAGAGGAAATTCAACACCAGTTTGGTTTCTGTTGGCTGGATTGGTTGATGACCGTGTGGTTGGGGGCGCGAGAGGAAAGGATATGATGGTTGGTGAAAAACATACTCGGTAGTGCCTCCGCGTTCACCGTGAACGATGATATCCTTTGTCTGACCACCATTGAAGCCCGCAGGGACCTTTCCGTGCTGACCCTGACCCTTGTGACCACGACCAGAGGTCTTACCCTTGCCGGAAGCGGGACCACGGCCTCGTCGGATGCGTTTGTTGTATGCTGAGGGATTGTCGGAGATGGAGGAGAGGATGTGGGCGCTGCGAGATTGGAACTGGGGCGCAAGGAAGGCCAGTGGTGAGGATTGGGCAATTGGCTTCGCAATGAATTGTCGAAGCTGCATAGGCAGCCCCATCAGTCGAGGAGTCATGATGTCGATGTGTAGGTGAGGTTGTTCGTCGAGTGCGCGGCTCACATCAAAGATCTCGAGCGGTCGGGAAAAAGTCGGGCCGGGTGAGAAGTACGCCAATCAGGGGACATGCATATACTTGGCCAACCAACGAAAATATCATTCGACTAGTTTTATTTGATCTTAATTTTTATTACTATTTACCTAATGGTACTATTTGTTCAAATGAGTAATGAAGTTTTGCGATGAGTAAAAATCTAAAAAAAAATCATGTTTGCTAGACTAGTACTGTCTGCTTGAATAAACGCCCTTGATGTGTGTATGCGATTTGAACTGCCGAGATAACGCAGTCGT